TCCTACAGATAAATTCAGAATAATCTGTTTCCACCTAAATTGATATGTCCTGTTGTAAAGGATAAAAGTGTCCAAGTGTGTTTTACACAATAGTCTCTTCTAGAGAGAAGGTGGGTGGTAGCTAGTATCTGTCTCTTAGAATCTATAGGTTTCTATAGTTTGATAACCTAACTGTACTACTGCAGAGAATAGGAGTGAATTGATGTGCATTCTACTTTAGTGTGTCCCAAAGAAGAGAAGTCGAGATAGCTAGTGTGTATGCCTCCAAATGCATGTCATACAAATATTGATCTAAACTACAATGGTGGTTAGGATGGAACTATCATGTCCTATGACCTAAGGGGGATGCATTAACTGAGCTAGTTTCTGTCCTGAAGAATCCATGAAGTTCTATATTCGATGTGTTCAATGAAGATTTTAAGAGTGAACTTGTGTGTTCTCCATGTATGTCTGTCTAAAAGATGACACTTGAAGGAAGCTGATGTCTATATCTCATCATCCAAGTTCTATTATCCTAGTTCTCTTTTACAGAGCAGGATAAGAGCAAACTACTGTGCTCTCTACCTCAGTCTGACTTATTAGAACACTTGTAAAGAGCTAGTGTGAATCAGTCTCTTAGTATCCATGTTGTCTTAACTTGTTCTTTACTACAAAGGAGGACAGAAGTGAACAAGTGCTCTCTCAAGCTCTGTCTGTCCTACAAAGAAGGATTGAAGGGAGTTCGTATCTATCCCTCAGAATCTACCTTGACTTATCAAGTGAAGTGGATAGGAATGAACTCCTATGCTCTTTACCTCAGTATAGTCCTGAAAAGAAGTCTTGGAGTGACTGTCTCTCAAAACCCATTTCATCTTAACTTGATCTATCTTAAGAAGGAGATTCAGAATGAGCTATTGTGTTTTGCAACTTAGTCTGCCTTAAGAAAGAGATCCTGTGAGAGCTTTGGTGTATTTCCCAGAATCCATGTGATCTTAACCTTGATCTTTCCTATGGTTAACTTTAGAAGTGAATAAAGATGCTCTCCATCAATATGTGCTATGGTGGGAGCTTAGAGGTGACTAAAGTCTGTTTCAAAGAATCTATGTTTCCATAACTTGGTCTATAGTATGGTGGAGGATAGTGGTGAATTAGTGTGCACTACACAGGAAGCATGGTTTGAACTAGTATCACTCTCACATAGTTCATGTTGGGCTAACTGTAATCTGTTCTACAAAGGAGGCTGGGGTGAAGTAGAGTACTCTATAATATAGAATCTCCTGTGGAGGGTTTTGGGAAGGAGATATCTGTCTAACTCTACATGTTGTGGGAACAAAGATCTATCCTGAGGAGGAGATTAGGAGTTACCTATTGTGCCCTCTACCTCAGTTGGTCCTCCAGAGGATCCTTGTGTAAACCTTGGCTATCTCTCAATCTTTCACAATCAATGTCTTCCAAACTTGGATTGGTTCAATGGATGAAGTTATAAAGGAACTGTATTTATTTTCACCTCAGACTGTATAATATAGGAGGCTTGGGGTCAGGGGTAGCTATAGGAATCTCAGAGAATTAATATCCTAATTTGATTTCTACTGTGAAAGAAGAAATCTTACAACTATTGTGGTATCAAACTCTGTCTGTCCATCAAGGGAAGACTGGAAGAAGCCAATGTCTGTCTCCCAGAATCCATATTGTCCTTACTTGATATGCCCTACAGAACAGGTGAGGATTCAATTAATTTGCTCGCCATTTCAATCTGTAATACAGGAAGTTTTCAAGTGAATTAGTATGTTCTCCAAATCACTCTATTACACTAAGGAGGATTGGAGGGATATTGTGTCTATGTCTCAGAGTCTATGTTATTTTAACACAAGACAGCGCTAAAGATAAGAATGAGTCTACTAATGTTCTCTCCAACTCAGCCAGTCTTACAGAGGAGACTTGGAAGCTAATATGTGTCTCTCAGAATACATATATTTATAACATATATTTATCCTATTTATACTATAAGTAACATAGTATAATATATACCTCAGTCTATTTTATTGAAGAGAACTCTATGGAGTTTGTATCTGTCAGAATGAATGTTGTCCTAACTTTTATCTATATTACAGAATAGGTTAGGAGTTAATTGGTGGGCTCCACACTTCACTTCATCCTTCCAAACATGCTTGGGGAGAATAATGTCTATCTCTCAGAATCTATGTTGTCTCTAACTTGACCTGTCATATGGAAAAGGATAGGAGTGCTATAGGGTGCTCTATACCTCAGTCTGTCCTATATAGGAGTATTGATGAGAGTTAGTGCTTGACTAAAATTATATATACATATGTATATATATTGTCTGAATAATTATTTTTGCTCCTGTTAAAATTAGAAGTCAGCTAGTATTCATTGTATATCAGTCTATCTTAGTGAAGAGGATTGAAGAAAGCTAGTGTGTATCTTCCAGAGTCCATTTTCTCCTAACATCAACTGACCAAGTAAAGAAGTTGGGAGTGAACTACTGTACTCTCCACATAAGTAGATCCTATACAGTGGGATTGGAGGTACCTGGTCTCTCTCTCATTATCCTGTTATTCCTTACTTTATCTGACATACAGAGAAAAGTAGAAATGAACTAGTGTGATCTACACCTACATATGTCCAAAGAAATACCCTGAAGGGAGATGGTGTCAGTCTTTCAAAATCTGTATCTTTCTATGCATAAATTTAGGAGTGAGCTAGTATGCTCTCCAAATCAGAATGTCCTACAGGATAGACTTGTAAGGAGTAGGGTTTGTCTCTCAGAAGCCATGTTGTAACCTTCATATATTATATGGATAAGGCAAGGTGAAAACTGGTATGCACTCAATATCAGTCTGACACATCGAGGAGGTTTGAAGGGAGCTAGTGTCGTTCTCTCAAAATCCATATTTTCCTAACATTATCAGTACAATAGAAAAGGATAGGAATGAACAAATGTGTATTGCATCTGAGACAGTGCTATACAGGAGGCTTAGAAAGAACTAGTGTTTGCTCTCAATGTACTTGTTGCACTAACATTGACTTATCTTAAGGATGACTTTAGGAGTGAAGTTAGTACTCTCCAATAATCTGTCCTGAGGGGGAAACCTGGAGGGACCTAATGTCTGCCTTTCAAAATCAGTGTATTTCTAACCTTTATCTGTCCTGTGGAGGAGATTAAGAGTGAACTAATCTGGTCTCTATGTTACTCTGTCCTTTTGAGTCATCTTGGAGAAAGGTAGTTTCTCTCATAATCCTGGTTGTTCTGTATTTGAACTGTCCTACAGAAAAGGTTATGTTCAGTGGCCCTCAGTCTGTCCTTCCAAAGAGTCTTGAAGGGGTCCAGTGTCTGTCTCTCAGAACCCATGGCTTCTTAACTTTGATCTGTGTTACTGAATAGCATAGGAGTGATCTCCCATGCTTACCACCTCAGTCTGTCCTACAAAGGAGGCAAGAGCAAAGTCAGTCTCTCTGTCTCTCACTCTCATTCTTTCTCTCTCAGGATCCATGTTGTGCTAAGGTTGACCTATCCTCTGTAGGATGTTACAAGGGAACTAGTATGCTCTTCACCTTAGTTTGTCCCCAGGACAAACTAGTTGGTAACAGTTAGTAGTCTGTCTCTTAGAATCCATGTTTTATTAACATGTCTCTTTCTTACAAATAAAAATAGAAGTGACCTAGCAAATCTATTTCTCACTCTTCCCTGTGGAAAAGAACTGGAAGGAGCTAGTGTCTGTCTCTCAAAATTCAGATCTCTTTAACATGACTTTTCAATAAAGGAGGTTAGGAGTGACTAGCATGGTCATAATCACAGTCTGTTCTAGAGAAGAGGCTTAGATTAAGCTAGTGTCTTTATCTTAAATTTCTGCTTGTCCTATCTTTAATCTGTCCTACAGACAAGGGTTTGGGTGAAGAAATGTTCACACTACTCAGTCCTATTGAAGAGTCTTAGAAGGTGCTTAAGTCTGTCTGTCAGAATACATGTTGACTTAAGCTTTATCTGCCCCATTAAAGAGGAAAGTAGTGAACTAGTGTAGTTTCCTCTTAACTGCTGTCCTATGGAGGTATGGAGGAATCTAGTGACTCACTCCAACAATCTATTTTGTGCTAACCTTGATCTTTTCTATGGGTAAGATTAGGACTTAACTAGTGTGCACTGTACATGATTGTATCCCATTGAAATGGTTTGGAGCGAGCTAGTGTTTGTCTCTATGAACTCATTTTTTCCTGAATTGATCTCTCCAATGAAAGAGGTCAGCAGTGAAGTCATGTGCTCTCTACCTAAGTATACCTGATGCACTTGGCTTCAGGGAGATGGTATCTATCTCTCAGTATCCATATTTTCCTGACTTGATCTGTCCTCTAAAGGATTATAGGAGTAGCCTAGTGTGCTTTCTACTTCAATCTGTCCTACCTAGAAGGAGTAGATAGAGGTCATGCTTCTCGCACAGAACTCATGTTGTCTTAATAATTATGTCATATATAAGAGATGAGATTGGACTAGTGTGTTCTCCACATCAATGTTTAATATGGAGGAGGAAAAGAAGGCAACTAGTGTCTATCTCAGAATTCATGTCCTTCTAGAATCGATCTATTATACATATAAGGAGTGAATTGTTGTGCTTTTTTTTGCATGGAAGCATGAAGAATATATTGCCTCATTTATCTAAACGAGCAAATGAGTTTGCTAGAATGATCAGTATACCTTTTTTAATTCACAGAAAGTCTCACGTGGGCCAGCCCAGAGATCCAACACATTATTTCCCCAATCTTCTGGCAGGTACTCTGTGAGACTGCCCACATTACGTTCTACTGCAATCCCTGGGCCACAGACCAAGTCTCCTTGTCTTTTATACCACCTGGAATAAAGTCTTTCAAATGGCACAGCCTTTTTCCTTCACTTTGAAGAGCATACAATAATTTTTCCAAAGTGTTGATCTGCTCTCTACAGCCCCCAAAATAAAATATTAAGTACAACAAAATTATCAGAGTATTCCTTGAATTAAAAAAAAACCAGCTATTTCAAGGCACATTTAATTTAATATCAAGAATTCAATACAAAAAGACCCAAATACAATGAAGGAACACATTCCCCCATTTAACACCAACGACAATGCTGTTTAACATGTGCCTGCTGAATGAGATGAGGTTTACTGAATAACGGCAGTCTCATCACAGCCAGTACCTTATACAATCTAGTTGTGAAATGAATGCTTCAAACACCTTCATGTTTGTACAGACCTCGTAAAGGTTATCTACAGTTTCCACAACCATTCAGAGAACAAACCATTGATAAGAACCACATAGATTTAAGGCTCCATTATGTAATATAGAGCTCAGAGCTAATGGATAAATATATGCACTACTTGTACTGGTAGCTACAACTCAATTGTCTCACAGCTATTAGAAGTTGGTTCTTAGCACGTAAACCCTTTAAAGGCAAAATTCACCTCATTTGAGTTTTGACCCAGTAGTTCAACAGTCATGAAGTCCACAGTCTTATTGGCATAACTGATGTACAGTGTCTCTAAGTCACTATGCTCAAGGTTAAGAGCGATGCATATTCCATTTTTACATTTTACTGGAATTTTACATGTTCAATTCATGATTTAAAACCTCTAGGTTTTCAATCCTCCAAACTGTCTGAAGACACAGTGTGCCACAGTCTTAAGACTTCTGTTTTCCCCTCTATTTTTTCAAACAGAAACATTTCTCAAATGTCTACATGTTCTAGAAGGGGAATTTTTCGGAGGTGGCCTCTTCTTCGGAATAGTCCAACGGCATCAGGCCTCTGAAGCAAGGGGGAGGGGAAGAGAAAAGCTGAAACACAAGGTTCATCTGGTAAGTTTTACATTAACCATTACAAGCTGGACAGTATAAGAATGTGGCTTTTTTGGCTCAAAAAGTCTGAGTCTTAGAGTGGAAACGAGTACTTGGCTGTCCCACCACAGCTTTCTCGAGGTGGGACTGTCAGGGAAGTCTTGACTGGGGAGTATGGTTTGTTTACCTATCAGGCGTAAACTTCCAGGCGCTCAGTTCATTTTGGGCTTGTTCCAGTTTGTCTTTAGTCTGTTCCAGTTCACCTTTCATTTTTAGGAAAAACAAGTTGATCGCTGGGTCTACCATTGTTGATCTTAGTTGGGCGACACTCGGCTGCTGGACTTGCTTGAGGTACTGGATCTGACTAGTACACTCTTGCATCTCCTGCTCCTTGCTTGCTAACCGCATGACAAGAATGTTTTCCCTGCGTGCAGACTCCTGCTGTTGCTGCTTTAGTTTTTCTTCAGATTCCCTTAAGCCAGTCACGTCATTTGAATTAAGATCTGTGTATTTCCCCTCCAAAGCTTGAACATATGTTTCATATTGTTTCCATCTTAGAATTAACTCATCCCGTGCCATAACTTTGAAGTCTGTTTCACTCAGACGGACCTTTTTAGGGAGAGGCTCTTCGTTGGTCCTCTTGTACCCTTTCCAGCCCGAGGCTGTGCAGGTGCCGCCAGTCACACAGGCCAAGGCAGCACCGCCGCCAGCGCCTCCTCACTCCTCCCGCCGCAGCTCCGGCACTGGCCTTTATTTGCGGGTCTCGCAGCCACCATTGTGCTTTTTAATTATGTCATACTACAGTGTCTTGGAAGGGCTAACATTCTCTCATTAAGAATCCCTGTTGTCTTAACTTTGATCTCTTCTACATATGAGTTTATGAGTGAAATAATGTTCAGTTGCCCTCTTTCCACCCTATTTAAAAGTCTTAGAGTGACCTGGTGTCTGTCTCTCAGAATATATATTGTCCTAACCTTATTCTGTTCTACTGGAGAAGATAGGAATGAATTAGTGTGGTCTCCAATTCACTGTGCCCTACAGAGGAGTCTTGATGGGACCTAGTGTCTATTTTTTACAATCAATGCTGTGCTAAACTTAACCTGTCCTCTAGAGGAGATTGCATGTGAACTATTATGTTCTCCCACTCAGTCTGCTCTCCTAATGAGGTATGGAGGACGCTATTGTCTATCTCTTGGAATCCATGTTGTGTTAACCTAGATCATTCCTACAAATTAAGATATGAATGACTTAATGTGATCTACACATCAGTATACCCAATAGAAAAAGAGCTGAAGTGAGCTAGTGTCGCTCTCTCTCAGAATCCATATCACCCTAAACTTGGTGAGTCCTGTGGAATAAGTTAGGAGTGAATTCCTGTGCTTTCCAGCAGTCTTTTCTACAGAGCAAGCATGAAGTGAGCTAGTGTACATATCTCAGAATTCATGTTACACAAACAATGATATGGAAAAGGGGGGATATTAGAAGGGAAATACAGTGCTCTCCACTTCAGCCTTTCATATTGAGGAAACATGGAGTCAGTTAGTTTTTCTCTCTCAGAATCCAAGTTGTCCAAAACATGTCCTGACCCCCTGATAAAGTTATGAGTTAACTAGTGTGTACTCCACCTCAGTCTGTCCTAGGAAAGAGTCTTAGAGGGAGATAGTGTCCATCCCTCAGAATCCATATTGTCCTATCCTTGATCTGTCCAAGTGAAATTGGTAAGAGTGCAAGGCATTCTCTTCATTTCATTTCTTACTACATAACAGGCATGGTGAAATCTTATGTTTGTCTCTCAGAATACATGCTATCTAAACTTTCTCTGTCCTCTAAAGGAGATTAAGAGGGAATAGGTGTGCTCTTTGTCTTATTTTTTCCAATGAAGACACCTTGGTTAAAGCTACTGTCTATCTCTCAAAATACATGCTGTCTCACCATGAGTTTTCCTACAAATAAGGCTAAGAGTTACCTAGCATACACCAGTCTTCAAGAACCCCATAGAAAAGAGCTGAAGTGAGCTAGTGTCTGTCTCTCATTATTTATGTTGCCCTTACTTTTTTTATGTTACCCTTACTTTACCTGTCTTATAGAAGAGGTTATAAATAAGTATGCTTTCCTACACTTCAATCTGTGCTACAGGAGAGTATTAAAGAAAGCTAGTGTCTGTCTTTCATAATCATTATTTTAAATTGGTCTATTCAACAGAGGAGGTTAGGAATGAACTAATGTACTCTCCAGTTCAGTGTATCCAAAGGAAAAGGCTCTGATGAAGATAGTGCCTGTCTTCTACAATCCATATCATTGTTGTTTGGTCTGTCTTATGGAGAAGTTCAGAGGGAGGTTGTTGTCTCTCCACCTCAATCTATTCCACTGAGGACACAATGGAGGTAGCTAGTGTCTGTCCTTTAGAATCCATGTTGTTCTAACCTTGGTCTGTACAACTGACAAGGTTATTATTGAAATAGAGTGTTCCCCATCTCAGTCTCTTCTACACAGCCTTGATGGGTAGTAGTGTCTTTCTCCATGAAACATATTTTTTTAACCTTAATCTGTCTGATGGAGGATGTCATGGGTGAACTAGTATATTCTCCAACAGTCACTGTAGAAAGCTTTTTGGCAGCAATGCCTGGCTTTCAGAATCCATGCTGTCTTAATGTTGATTTTTCCTACAGATAATGACAAGATTGACGAATGGGCTCAACACTTCAGTCTACCCTGTGAAAAAGAGCTGGGGGGAACTAGTGTCTGTCTCTCACAACCCCAGTTGTTCAAATGCCTTCTGCACAACAGAAAAGCTAAGAAATGAAGTAGTGTTTCTACATAGGAGACTTGTATGGATTTAGTGTCTGTCTCTAAGATCCATGTTTTCATTTATCTGTCCAATGGAAGATACACGAATGAAATTGTATGCTTTCCATATTCAGTGAAATCTATTGAGTAAGCCTGTACATGTTCAGAGTGTGTCTTTCCAAATCCATGTTGTGTTAACCTTGATTTGTCCTATGAATAAGTAGAGCAGTGTCTTACTGTGATCTTCCCTTGCATATATCCTATGGAGAAACATAGGGAGCTAGTGTCTGACTTTCATATCCATGTGGCCTGACCTTTGGTCTGTCATAAGGAAAGGAACATAAGTGTGTACTCATGTCATTCTGTACTACAGAGGAAGTTTGAAGGAAGATAGTGCTCAATTGTGAATATTCATGTTGTCCTAAATTGACCTGTCCTACAAAAAAGCATAGATAGGACTGACCTAGTGTGCTCCCAAATTCAGTCTGTCCTACAAAGGAGAATTGGAGGGAGCTATTTTCTATCTTTCAGAATCTGTGTTTTCTTGACTTCATCTTCCCAACACAATAGATTTGAGTGAACTGATGTACTATCCACTTAAATATAACCTATGGAGTAGGCTTGAAGTGGATTGGCATCTGTCCTTCATTATCTATGTTATCCTAACTTGACCTGTTGTAGGGAGGATGGAAGGAGTGACCTAGTATGTTCTGGACTTCAGTCTATCTTAATAAGGAGACTTGGGGAGAGATTGTATCTCTCAGAGATTATATGTTTTTCTTGTCTTTATCTGTATTGTGTATGAGGTCAGAGAGGAATAGTGGGTTTCCCACATCAATCTGTAATATGGAGAAAGAACAAGAGGCATCTGTCTCTCATAATTCTAGTCATGCTAGACTTGAACATTCCTATGTATAAGAGATTAGCAATGAACTAGTATGTTGTCCAATTCTTTCTGTCTTGCTGAGTATTCTTGGAGGGAGTTAGTTTCAATCACTCAGAATCTCTGTTGTTCTTTGATCTGTCCCAAAAATAAGATAAACTAGATATAAATTTCTTTAGAATGTCCTACTGAAAGGTACTGATGGGAACTAATGTCTGTGTCTTAGAATCCATGTGCCCTGACCTTGATATTCCCAGCTGAAGTTGACAGGAGTGAACTAACATGCTCTCCAACTAAGTCTGCCTTATGGAGGAAGCTGGCTAGGAGCTAGTGTCTATCGCTCAGAATCAATGTAGTGCTAAGTTTGATTTGTTCCTATGGATAAGTTTAGAAGTAAAATAGTATGTTCTTTTCTTTGGTCTGATTTACTGGCGAATATTAGAAGAATCTAATTTCTGGTTTCTTTAAAGGAAGAATATTGGAGGGTACTAGTGTCTGTGCTTTAGAATCCATGTTGTCCTAATCTTGACCTTTCCAACTAAACAAAATAATAGTAAACTAAGATGATGTCCTTCTCAGTCTGTCCTATAGAGGAATCTGGATAAGATAATCTGTCTTTAAGAATCAGTGTTGTAACTTTGGAGATCTCCCCAAGGATGGCCTCACCCTACCTGGGGAATGATGTGGCGATTGGATGGAGGTTGGGGGGACTGGTGGAGGGACTAGAGAGGAGGGGTGGGAGAGGGAGCTGGGATTGATATGTGAGGCATCTATGTTTCTAATTTAAATAAAAAATTAATAAAAAAGAATCAGTGTTGTGATGAGTTTTATCTGACTTATGGAGGTTGTTTAGAGAGAACAAGTATGCTTTCCACCAGTCTATACAATGGAGAAGGCTTTGTGGTGGACAGTTCCTGTCTTTCAGAACCAATGTTTTCTTACCTTAAACTATTATACTCTTCACCTATACATATACTATGGAGTAGGATTGGAATGAGCAGATGTCTGTCTCTTACATGTCATTCTAATCTGTCTGATGAAGGTTTATAAACCTTCTCAATGTCAGTCTGTCCACAGGTAGGGGTTTTGTGGAGATCTTTTCTATCTCACAGTATCCATATTATTGTTCTTTTGGAAGAGGTTAGAAGAGATTTTGTGCCCTCTCAGTCTGTATTACTGGGGGTGTCATTGTCTGTTTCTCAGAATCTATGCCTTCTTAACTTAATTCTGTTTTATGTACGGGATTAGAAATGAACATGTATGTTCTGCACTTCAGTTGGTACTACTGAGTAGTCTTGGAGTCGGTTTCTCTCATTCAGAATCCAGGTTTTTCTAACTTTGATTCACAAAATTATGCTCAGAGAAAGCTAGTGTCTCTTACAATCCTAAATTGATCTATACTAAAAATCAAAAGTAGTGTGTACTCAGTATATTCTATAAAAGAGGATTGGAAGAATATAGTTTATGATTTGTTGTCCTAGCTTGATGATCTTATGGAGTATGTAAGCAAGGTCCTTCTCTGATTCCCATCTCAGTATGTCTTATAGACGAGGCTTGAAGCTAGTGTCTTTATGGTTCCATCGTATTCTAACTTTCATCTGTCTTATGGAGAATTTAATAGTGAACTAGTGTGTTCTTTAGCTCAGTCTGTCCTATCAGAAAGCTTATACAGATCTAGTATCTGTCTTTCAGAATTTGTGTTTTCCTAACTTGATATGTGCTATGGAAAAGGTCAGTAATTAATTACTGTGCTCTCTATTTCATCATGTCCACGGATGAAGCTATTATTTTTCTCTCAGTATCCATCTTGCCTGAACCTTATTAGTTAGTCGTATGTTATGAGTGAACTAGTATGGTATCCACCTCGATCGGTTCAATAAAGAAGGCCTGGAGAGACCTACTTCTGTCTTAGAATGCATTTACTTCTAACCTTGATTTGTCATAAACACAAGTTATGTGCCAGTCTGTTCTCCACCTGAAAGTATCCAACAAAGAAAGCTTAGAGAAAGTTTTTTCTTTCTCTCAGAATATCCATTTTCAGTCCCT